ATCATTTTTGACTACTCAACAAATGATTTATTATTTTCTTTCACTGTGTTTTGGCCTATAATTCCCATTACTGTCTTGAGTACAAATGGGGACCATGACAAAATTTGAAAAGGAAGGTCTCTTCCTATAGGAATCTGTATGTAATGAAATAAGGCCAAAGCACAATCTCTGAACAGAGCCTGTATGGTTACAAATATGTTTCTATGTGGGAACAAAGGTCAAGATGTTCACTTACCTCCGCCAAAGGATTTATGACTGTGGGAAATGTAAAAGGAGAGATAGACCAACAGAAAATTAGCTGACTGTTGGTAAAGCCACAGGGACCAAGATACTCTTTACAAGCACATGTTCCAGTCCACTGAGTGCCCCTAGTACTGTGTATCAGAACTAAAACAGCCCGCTTAAACCTAGCTTGATGGCCCAGTGTGTTGTACAATCCTAAACCTTCCCTACTGAGTGGAGGGGAGAGGGGAGAAAAAAAAAACAACGGAGCAGAGAGCCCTTAAGAACCACCATACAATTCAGATAAATGTAGAGAAAGCATATCTGTTACTGCAGGATTACATGACTGATGAACAACTGCAAAGATGCAGAAAATGTTGGCATTGAAAGACTCTTATTAAACATGGGTATAAGAAAAATGGAAGAGAAGTGCTCTAACTCTGCATGACTTGATTCTTGCCCAAACCATGGTTATCATTAAGAATATATGCTACCCTCATCTGCATGGCCATGTTAGAGCCCTTGCTCTTTGTATGTGACAGAATAAGAAGTGGGCAGGAGAGGAGTTACACTGTCATGCTCTTGAGGCTAGCCACAGCCCTATATTCAATGCCATAAAATATGTTACCACAATACTATCTGAAATTTTCCAAAATAATGTGATGATGCAGTTCTACAGTCTGGCTGCCTAACAGGTCATATGGCTCCAAAGCACAGAGCATAGAACTTAGCAACCATTTATAACGTATCTATGAAAAATACATCTCAGGCCCCAAGCAGCATTCTTTCAGGCAAACATTAGAACAGTCTGCTCAGGAACTGTCTCTACTGGGCTGTGATACGTTTGTTTTGCACATGAAGTTTGTTTTAGACTCCGTCTGCAGAGAAATTTCCTGCTCTTGGATGATGACTACAAATAATAAATTGTCACCAAAAATGGACATGAAAGTTTTAAAAAGCAGTTGGGAGGTGGAAAAAATGAAGAAGCTGCAAACAAGTCCATTTTGGGAATGTTCTGAATGTCCTGGTTAAGCGAGCTTTTCATTTTAAAGGGAAAAATATTCGTCCAATGTGAATTTCTTTGTTCGTGATGCTTAATATAGAATTCTACAATGTGAAAACAGGAAGTCAGGCTTACATGGTATTTGCTTTTATGATACTAAACTGCCTTGAAATAACAGCACATTCTATTACAACTTTCGAATATTCAAAGAAAAGCTACAACACTGAAATCCTTTCTTAAGTTTTTCATGAGGGCTCATGCTTTGTGGACATTTCAGAGCAAATCAGGGCAAATACGGGAAACATGTAGAAAGTGCAAGGCTCAGACATCCCAATTATATCAAAAAGCTGCAAAGATGCTGTGCAGATCCATTCCCTCCCCTTCTACATGTCATAAATTCCAAAGTGTTGGTGTCACACTGCGTCAATTGCAACCATTTATTAATATTTGGAATCCTGTCGATTAGCTTCCTAAACGTTATTATCCATTTTACTCCTTTACAGCCATCTAACACTAACAGCACAGCCACAGTGTTCAGTCATCTCCCTGAAACCATACGTGCAGCGCCTCAGGGTGGCTTACATAAGCAGGCTTCTGGGGAGAAGAGGGAGGAGGAAATAGCAAATTGCAGGATCTGCTGATCTTGGACATAGGTCTCTCTGCAGGAGCTTCCAAATGTGTCTTTGTTTATGTTTTGGGCTCTGGGTTATTGTGGGGCACAGGACTAAGGAGGAAGGAATTTGTTGCCTCAACTTTAAAAAATGTAATTAAGATGTGAAAGAAGGGTTAGGTTGAAAACAGCAAAAAAATTAAAAAAAAATTGAAAACAGAAACTATCTTGGGGTATTCTAAAGCAAATAGTCACACATTCATAAATTTGAGCATATCTTTATAAAAGAATCTGGCTTTCGGTCATGGATATAGTTGTTAATAAATACATAATTTTACATAAAAAATATTCAATATGGCAATGATGAACATAATTCAGACCCCAAAAACTACTCTGCATAAGGCATCTATTGTAATGAATGCAGTGTTTCTTAGTTGGATTATTAAAGACCCCAATTCTCTACTTGATGGCACTTACTGTGTGTAGTAAAAACATCACTGACTCTGAGTCAGAAATCTTTTGATTCCAACCCAGCCACAGCCACATTCTAGCCATGCAATGTGTGCAAACAAGTTGACCATTTTGTGCCTTAGTTATGCTTTCTTGAAAATGTGAATTACAAGAAAATATTAAATGCTATTATTCTACAAAAAAAAAGTAAAATAACTACAACAGTCTTCCAAAATGTAGCTTTCTTCTTCCCTCCTCTTTCTTCAAGAGCTGTGTATACATTTTAATAAAAAAGGAATATAATTGATGAAAATAATTATCCAGAGAGCATCATTTTGCGGCAGTATTGGGAGTGGACTCTCCACACTACTGGGCATGAAAGAGTTAAGTGGGAACACGGGCACCACTTTGGAATCTCAGGGGATGGGATAGGGAGGAGGGAAAGAGAAGATTTACTAGACTCACACAGGCAGAGTCCTGGTGATGTGAGGAGCTCAAAGGCATTTCTTCTCAGACTCCAGTCAGGAAGTGATTCTCAAAGAAGTTTACATTGCCCTGCTCTCCTTACACTGTGCCACAGTAGGAAATCCAGGACACTGACTGCTCACAAGAAAGATGCCAGCATTTCCTGGAATCATATGAAAGCAAATGAGCTTCATGTCATATACCATGTTATACAGAAGCAAGTCTCCTCAACAATGTTGCATTAAAAAGAGTAAACTTATATTCAGCCTTGAGCACTTTCATATGTGACGACCAAGAAAGTGAGGCAAATGAAATAAAGAAAAAAAACTCTGATTCCTGGTTGATTCTAGTTCACCTCCTATAAAATATTTTGAGAAGAATTATACATCATACAAGAGTGTATCCTCTCTCCATCTCTCTCCCTGACCCCCACTCTCCTGTGCACACACACACATAGCCTGTGCACCACTGTTCACACCTGTTGCACAACTTAAAAGAAGAAACTTAGGCTCCACCAGAACACAAATATACCTGAATCAGGCTGTGTTGTCACCACATGTTTAATGGAGAAAGACAGATAAGTTGCATCAGAATGTCTTTACAGAGCCTTCCAAATCAGTCACATCCATTTACTTTTGTCAAGTTTGTAATATGCACATAATTTCAACCAGTATTTATTTTCTCTTAACTAGAAGAGGGCATGGGCATATCTGAATTGCTCACTTTTAGACTTGTGACCACCTGGCATGTAGTATATATACTCAATAATTGTTGACTGAGCAAATGAACTTTGTCTGATCTAAAGGGGACTTACCATTAAACATACATATACAATAAAGTATGTTAATTGATCTGAGAATGGACTCAAAGAAAATAGGGCAGCTTAATGAGTGGGTAGAATTATTTCACATTGTAGATTCACTTTTTTTGATATTTTGTAGTTACTATTTAAAGACTTTTGCTTATATGAATAACAAAAGTTTCTTTTCTCCATCCATCAAGATTTAATATGCAGTGGAATCCAATACCTTTGGTTAGTGGTTTTCTTTTTGATTACTGTCTATCTCAGTCAGCCTATTTTTATATGGCTTGTTTTAGCTACATGAGTCAAAGCATATTAATATGGCAGCCTGTTGAGAGGTATCTACATGAAAGATAAAAATGTAGGCTATATTTATACTAGTAACTATCCGCACTATGGCATCCCTACCTTCTAAACATTAAAGTAGATCAAAGACTTACAATTTCACATAAATTAATCTTACACTAGATTGTGGTTTTAGTCCATTCTCCTTCTGGGTAATGAGTTCATGCCCATCATTCCCTTTGTCTTCAAAATAGCAACTTTTACTTTTCTTATAATTGATTGCAAGCAATTAAGCAAAGTGATATTATCTGCTTCCTACAAAATAATATAACACCCAAATTTTACCTTCATTATCATAAAGTCTTTTTCTTACTTTTCAAAAAAAGTTTAAATATTTTCTCTGATTCTTTCCCCACAGTCATGACCTTAACAAGAAACCATGATGGTCTGACCAAATGATTTCCTTTACAGAAACCACATTTTCTTCCCCTATTAGGTCATGCACATAAAGGCCTGGGTGACTCTCTTCATCCTAACTTTCATTGGGCAATGTAGAGGCTACAGGATGACCCTACAGTTTCAAGTCACTGCACACTATAGTTTTGACATAGAAAGAAATTTCGTTAACAATCTCCCAACTTTCCTTTTATTTGTAACAAAACTGTCAGAATGCAGTCCTTAACACCCAGATCACTTTTACTATTAAAACACGTGCTGTCAGGCTTCTGTTCAAATCTGTATTATATGCAACACCATGAGTGAACCCTAATGTAAGTGATGGAGTCTGGGCAATAATGATGTGTCAGTGTAGGCTCATGGATTGTAACAAATGCACCTTCTATTGGGGGGCTTGATAAGTGATAAGACAACAGGAATTTATGGGAACTCTATGTTTGATTTTTCTGTGGGCCTGGCACTGCTCTAAAAGACCTGACAACTAAACAAATATTTGCATAAATCATAAATATATCGCCCTGTTCAAAGAATTTTATGAATATTAATATATGCAATCCTTCTAACAAAATTGAGATATTAATATAGATGTTTCTCAACTTACAATGTGGTCACACCCACGTTGTATCTAAGTCCATAATAAGATGAAAATAACATTAAGTCAAAATTACATTTAATACACCTAACCTACAGAACATCACAGTTTAGCAACACAGCACACTGGAGTACAGGTTGTTTTTCTTACTGATCACGTGACAAACTGGGAGTCCAAGATTTGGTCTTCTTGCCAGACAGCATATCCTTAGCCTGGGAAAGGAACAAATATCAGAATTCAAAATATGGTTTCCATTGAAGGTATATGGCTTTCACATTATAAAGCTGAAAAATCACAAGTATAACCATGTTTTACCATTGAACCATCTTATTACTAACCCCTTTTTGCTGATAAGGAGACGTCAGCAGAGAAGTGACTAACCCTGAATGTCACAATATCACTACTCGGCTTGCTTACTTCTCAGTCTTGCCAAATCATGTCCCTGGTCCCACATTCCTCCCCTCCACCATAAGTATGGTTCTTTAAACTATCAAGTATAGTTGCTTTCATAGAAGCATTGTATACTCTACATGAAATACTACATATGTATTTTTAAATGATTTGCTTCATAAGGAAAAATCACCTTTCTAGTGATTTTTTTCAGTAAAAAGGAAGTAAGAAGTCATTTGACTCTTTCATTTGCATCAGGATCATCATTCTTCTGCCTTATTATGAAATATTCCATGAGTTCATATCAGTGATTTGACAGTTTATTTTCCTGGCTACCCCATAGTTCTTCAGAGATTATTTTATTTTCTTCTTTTATATTTTGTGTTTTACAAATTATCTGATGATGTATATTATTTCTAAAAACAGAAAAGAATCACATTTTTTTTTAAAGTTTAGTTAGGGAAAGGACATCTAAATTGTTTAGATCACTACAGAAACACAGAACAGAGAAGTCTTCAAAGGACATGGCTGTTTGTTCCCAAAATTCAAATCCATTTCTGGGGAGTTAGTTTAATGAAAACTACTACCAAAGAAAGTTATAACAATATATAGGTTTATGTTTTGAATATATTGCCCACCAAAAAAAATTTATTTTATGTAGAGTTGCTTGGATACAAGAATCTTACAGAATAGAAAAGAACTTGGAGGAATTAGTAATACTTTCAAAACAATAGAGAAATGACAGTAAGAGTGAAAGAGGTAATTGAAATTTGTCTTTGATGGGAATAGTATCTAAAAGGAATATTGTCAATGTCTGCTGGCAGATTTTAAAAATATTAAAGTCTACTGAAATGGAGAAATGTCAACAGTATGGAATGAACAAAAACTACTCTTCTAATCAGATTTCGGGAGGTGAGCCATTGTTCTGTATGTTTTCTAAGTCCTTTTTGTTTTTTAAGTACAAAGAACATTTAAATGTAAAAAGGAAATTCATGGTAACTTCACAATGTGATATACAATTGAGAATTAAAATAGAAATGTTTTCTATAACCTGAAATATGAATAAGGAAATAATAACTTGCTTTCTCTATAGTACATCTCAAAAAGAATGTAGCAGGATGTTTACTTAAAATAATGTTGGTGTTCAATGTTGAAGTTTACAGAAGAGGAAAATATAAAAATGATGTGTTCAGAGGCAGCCCCAGGATGCACACAGTGGATGCATTGTGTTCTTTTGCATTGCATCTAATTTAATGAGAATAAGGTGAATCACCTTGCATGCAGGTCAGCTCATTTGTGTCATGGAAATGTAAAGGGGTGGGGCTTAAAACTGACAAAATAGGACTGTGATTTAATGGAGCTTTTATTCACTGTGTTTTGATTTCTTTTGTTTCCTACTTATCTTGCTAAGAGATTCCTTGAACATTAAACTAGAAATCTTAATCTTTGATGCTTAGTCTTTCTTCTGTGAAGTGATTTGTGAAGCACAGTTCTGTACAGAGTCAGCATCTGAACTTCCATCTACCATTGTCATCAGAGCATTGACTATATGCCAAGTAGCACCAAAGCGAGTACTTACATTAGCATGAACTTGATACTGTGGCTTGTTTTTGTTTTTGTTTTTGTTTTTGTTTTCCCATCTCATGGTAAAGAAACAGACAAAAAAAGACTAAATGACTTTCCCAAGGACCTTCAGTAAGAAAGAATCACAAACAGGCTGTCTGGGTGTCTGACGACAAAGATCCTGCTCTCAACCTTTGTGCTATGTTGGCCTTCAGTATGAATTGCAAATATGAGAATTATTTGTTGAATCAAAAAAGTAGAAAAAAGCAGGGCGTGGAGGCTTGTGTCTGTAATCACACACCTTGAGAGGCCAAGGTAGGAGGATTGCAACATTGAAGCCAGCCTCAGCTACTTAGTTACATCCTGAGACCCTGCCTCAAAAAATGCAAACAACAATGGTGATAATAACAATGAAGTAGAAATAAAACCAATTTTTCTTAGCTGATTTGGTGATGACTAGTGACCAACATGGTTATCAAGCAGTTCTGGATGAAGTTAATAGTTATAAATAATAGCTTTTTCTCTTAAATATAACAATACATGATTAATACCTAGATGGGAAAATAAAGTTAACGGAAAATGAGATAGTCATTTCTGCTTTAGTTGAAGATTCCAGAAATCCATAACTAATAAGTTATAAACTTAGCTCAGTTGTTACAGTGGCTCACAGTCGATGGACAGAGGCCAAATATTTCATGATTAAAGCCAACAATGCAAAGGAAATTAATTTCGACTAGAAATACATAGTTTACCTAAGACATAGTTTACATTTTAAACAATTTCTAATTAAAGACATCTATTAGTGGCCACCAGTGGTTCACATCTGTAATCCCAGCAGGGAGGGAGGCTGAGATGAGAGGATCAAGGTTCAAGACCAACCCAGACAGTTTGTGAGACCCTCCCATCTCCAAAATAACCAGAGCAAAATGGACTGGAAGAGTGGTTCAAGTGGCAGAGTGTGTGCTTTGTAACCACAAAGCCCTGAGTTCAAACCCCACTATCAAAAAAAAAAAAAAGAAAAGAGAAAGAGAGAGGTACTAAATATATTTTAAAGAGATTTGTCATAAATCAAACACTTTCAAGGTCATTGTATTGAATCCTAATTTTTTTCATCCAAAAGTACTAGAATATTATTAGGACTAGTAAATACTAACAAAAACATATAAAGCCTTATTTTTTTATCTTGTATTAGTTTGGTTTGTGAACAAATTGCCACATAATATCACAGAAAAATCATGCATCATCTTTGTAGCTGAACCATTTGCAATTACACTTTAATTTGACTTGATTCTTTGTCTTGGTCTTTAATTGGGGCTACTATAACAAAACACCATAGACTGGGTGGCTTAAACAACACACACTTGTTTTCTCACAGTTCTGGAAGTAGGGAAGTCTGAAAGCAAGGTGCTGACAGACTTGGCCCTTGGTAAGGGCCCACTTCCTGGCTTGTATACAGTATCTTTTCTTGCTCCATCAGCACAGAGAGAGAGAAAGATCTAGGGTCTCTTCCCTTGCACATGAGGTCCCAGCCTCGTAACCTCCTCTAAGCTTAGTTACCTCCTAAAGACCCAGAAACCATGTATTATCATGTTGGAGATTAGGAACTTGTTTGGGAGGAACCACACTCAGTGCATAGCTCATTTCTATGAAAACTTTTCCATTTAGTTCAGATTTATCTTGTACTATTCAGACTACGCTCTGATATAAACTTACCTGAGGGGAAGAAAAAAGAGATTCTTCTTTCAAATCTTTAGTCCACTACCAAAGGACCCAAGAAAGGACCTCACTACGGAGGGAACCCTAGGACTAAACAGTAACATATGGTACTTGAAGGTCACACATAGACCTTATCAAGAGAGAAGGGAAAAAAAAAATCAGAGAGACAATATAACCAAAGAGGAAGGGTGAGAGTAAAGAAGAAAGGGGATCTGAGGTAGCAAAGCAAACTGAGGAGGGTACAGAGCAGTTAAGAGGGCAGCAGGAAATGAAAAGAGATGGAATAGGCCAAAGGGAGAGAGAGAGAGAGATGATAAAAAAGAGCATAATTTTACTTTGTTCCCTTTAAAATCTCAAACCAAACACTCTAAAAATAATAACTATGGGGGTGGAGATTTTCCTTGTTAGTAATTCCAATATAACTGAGCTTCCTGCCACAACAGTGTAGGCTTTGGATTTCTAATTGCATAATGATTTCCATGCCTTCTCTAGAGAGTGAGTAACACATTGCTGGTGGAGTGGCACAAGTGGTAAAGAGCCTGCCTCACAAGCATGAGGCCCTGAGTTCAAAACCTAATACTTCCAAAAAGAAAGAAAGAAAAAAGAGAGAGAGTGAGTGGTACTACCTGTCTTCCTCATGAACAAAATTCCCATTACTTGATAAAACTGAATGGGGTTAGAGCTGTGGATTCATAGTGGATTCTATCTTCTGTGAACCATTACCATGTCAAACTATGGCTATAAACAACCTTTCACAGAGACTGTGACTTGTCATTAATAACTCATTTTATAAAATAAAGGTGAAAGCTAGCTTATTGCTAGTGGCTACTTGAGAACCTAAAGAATTTATCAGAGAAAAGGCAAGAAAATTGCCTTACATAATTTAAATAATAACATATGTGAAATGGTGAAGTGAGTTGGTTGTTATATAAATATTAATAAAAGCAAATATCATAATCAGGCATATGTGTGATATATGTATATGTACACATGCATATACACTATTTAAAAAGGAAGATCATGAGAGTTAAAAATAAAATACCCTAACTTGGTGACAGCTGAGGAGCTTATTGTTTCCTTCTGCTATTGAAACAGTGTAGGCAGCACTAGGAGAGGATTTGCTCAGCACTGCAGGGTAGGAGGGAGCAGTAATTAGGTCTAATGGAATCAGTTGAGATGAGGAACATTAAGCCTATCGGGAAATACTTCCTCCCAATGAAAACTATTAGATAATGGAATCACCTCCCAAGAGAAATGCTGGAAATCCTATCACTGAGAATATTTAGAACTCATCTGGACACTATAAGACACTGCATTGTCTAAGATGTTATGATCTTTCAGGTCCAAAGTGATATTTCATTTTGGATTTTATTTGATAAAAAATATTCAAATCTTTTTTATAGGGAATATGTATATAAAGAGACTATAGTATATGTGTGTATGCATGTACTCACATACATATATACAAAGTCATGCATATACACATGTATTATTAGTTGCTTTAAAATAATTCATATCTGTGCCTGTGTAGATAGAAAGATAG